CTGACCCACTGCATACAGTATCTGAAACACTGCATACATACAGTACTTCACACACTGCATACAGTATCTGAAACACTGCATACATACAGTACTTCACACACTGCATACAGTATCTGACCCACTGCATACAGTATCTGAAACACTGCATACATACAGTACTTCACACACTGCGTACAGTATCTGACAGCTTCTGACACATGTAAATACTAAGAGTGTAACACTGTATATTATTGGACAGTTTGATACGCCCCCGATGATATGCACATGTGAACTGCGGTATTATCATATGCCTGTCATTTCCCTATATGTACTGGGACGAATATAAGACGTTTTTCTCAAAGAAATACGTCTAAAAAAACTGGGGTTGTCTTATTTTCAAGGGCTTATTTCCAGAGAGGCGCCCAGCTCAGTGCAGCCTGAGAGTCTGACGGCAGCAGGTCCAGCCTAACAAAGAGCAGATTACAGAGAGTTTACCGGTTCGGGGGGGTGTCAGGCTATGAAAAAGGCCCATCTATCATCAAACTAAAGGCAGCGTTGGAGCCAGGGGTGGTCTGAAGGGTGGAGCCAGGGCTGACACAGGGCTGGTGTGGGGGGGGGACCTGAAAGCCATGGCCCCCGCATGGCTGAGGATTTGCCCGGACTAGCCCCGTCTCCACCTACTCCCAGTATCCCGCACAGCACAGGGACAGCAGGCCCAGCCCCTACGGGGGGGCCTCACTCCAGCTTTGTTCTGGGTGTGGGTCGTGGTGTAAGGCCGGCAGGGAGGCGGGGAGTGCAGTGAGCGGCACTGCAGGGGGTCAAGCTCTGAGGGGGTGTGGAGTGACCCTGATGGTGCAGGACAGGGCTCAGGGGATGCAGTTTCCCTGTTCCCATCAGGGTCCCACTGACCAGGCTGACTCATCAAACCCCCGGCCCCCAGGTCCGCACCCGCCCTGTTTACACAGATGGCAGTGAGTTTCCTTATTTTTGTGAGGGGCGTCGGCCGGTGAGGAGGTCGACCGCGTCAGCCCGTGAGGACCAGGAGGGGCGGTGGAATGCCACTACTCCACAGCGCCCCCAAGAGGTGACGGGCACGTAACTGTACTCTTTTTAATACATTGACACCCTTGCCTTCCCATCCTGTAACCTGCGTTTCGCATCCCTGAACCACGTCAGCACAGGTCATCCACCAGCCTAATGGGGAAGGTCAGACATGATGGCGGTTATTTCCCAGAATGCATTGCGGGTCGGTACACTGCTGCAGGTGAGCCAGTGGCCCGCAGTGACGTTTACGCTGCTCTGTTAAGCGAGCCGCCCCCCCCCCCCCAGGAGGTGCCGGGCTCGCTATTCCTCAGGAATGCTGTCGCTCGCTCACTCTCTCGCTATACCTGGGATGCATCTTCCCACTGTGTATGATGCTAACGGCCCCCGCAGCCTCAGGAGTAGTGCCAATAAGTGCTGGGGGGTCTAGGGGGGGAGGACATGCAGGCGTGGTACAGAGGACAGCTGTGGTTCACCAACTTTTCCCCAAGAAAGGGAGGAAGAAGGGGGGTGATGATCAGGCTTGATAATGGGGGTAGCGTGAGCCGTGTCTGATTCACACAGACAGAGACTCACACACACACACACGCAGACACACACACGCAGACTCACACACACACGCAGACACACACACACACACAGACAGACACACACACAGACACACAGACACACACACACAGACACACACACAAGCAGACACACAGACACACACATACACACACAAACACACAGACACACACACACACAGACACACACACANGGGGTAGCGTGAGCCGTGTCTGATTCACACAGACAGAGACTCACACACACACACACGCAGACACACACACGCAGACTCACACACACACGCAGACATAGACACACACACAGACAGGCACACACACAGACACACACACACACACACACACAGACACACACACGCAGACACACACACGCAGACTCACACACACACGCAGACACACACAAACACACAGACACACACACACACAGACACACACACACAGAAACACACACACACACGCAGACACACAGACAGACACACACACACACACACAGACACACACACGCAGACACACAGACACACACAGACACACACACACACGCAGACACACACACACACACACACACACACAGACACACTGAGTGACTCAGCCACACCTGCACGCAGAGCAGGGCGTCGCTCCACACTTGCTCTCAGCCCCCGATGGGGCCGCGGTCGGGGTGGGGGGTGGGGAGTCCTGTGGATGCCGGGCGGGTAGGGGCCTGTTGTTGTTTCTGGGGCACCCACTCAAAAAGTAACTTTTTAGGGGACAGGGTGGGAGGTGAAGCAGACCGTGACAGCCCCCACCTGCACACGCTCAGGGTCCAACACAACGGATGCTGCAAGACTCGTCTTCCGATTTACCCAACTCTTTAACACTAATATCTATTAAATGGCCAAAGTGCAATGTGCTGAATGACCTCCTTACTTTGCTGTGTCTGTAGTCATGGCGACACACACTACATTTACAGCACTTATCAGACACTCTTAAGCAGAGCGACTTCCATTCTTCTATATTCAGGGACAGTCCCTCTGGAGCAAGTTGGGGTTTAGGGTCTTGCTCAGGGACCCAATGATGGTAGAGCCAGAGGTGGGACTCAAACCCACGATCTCTTGGTCCAGAGGCAAGCGTCCTAACCACTAGATGACCAACACCAACGCACTACAGCACCAACACCAAGACACTCGCAGCAAAGACCCCTGACCTGCGAATATCCGAAGGCGTCTGTAGCGAGGGGGCGGCCCCAGGCCCGACATCCCGCCGCAGCCGTCCTCGTCATCACAGTCCCCGCTTTCCAGGCCCTCTTCGTCCCTGTGCACCCTCCCCCCCGGCTGCATGGCACCACCTCCTGGCTTCACCCGCCACCGTCTCTGTGGGGCCGTCACAAGGTGCAGGAGCTGAGCAGAGACACAGAGGGAGAGGGGATGTTTAGGGTTACTGCGTTTCTCTGTGGGAATGGGGGTGTAAACCACAACTCTGCCCCACACCCCATCCCACCCCATCCCATCATTTACATTTAGCAGACATTTTTATCCAAAAGTGACAAATTGTTGTTTGGTGTTTGTGCTCAACTGTTCTGTTCTGACTTGGCACTGTAGGGTCGTCAGTCAGTCTTCGTAGCTATTGGGGGTTAAGGGCCTTGCCCAAAGGCCCAATAGTGGAATCAGTCTGCCAGCTATGGGTTTTGAACCAGTCACTTTCTGATCACAGGAACAGTGTCTAAACCCCCTGGAACACACACTGCTCCCCATCACCGCTGCATTCCGCAGTGAGGGTTTGAACTAACCACTGTACAATGCATAAATGTGAATGTTTTCCCGGAAGCCAGAGACAGCTTCTCATTTAATGTGAGCTATTTTCTGCATAATGTGGTCAACTGATCGGGCTTTGCAGCGTGTGGCCGACATGTGAAAATTCCTGGCCCTAATCATACCCTTAGTGGCAAAAGCACACTGCTGCTGCTCGCACTGCAATCCAGAGAGTCAGAGAACCAGCGAGCTAAGCAGGCCGCAAACACACAGCACACTGCTGCTGCCCGCATTGCAATCCAGAGAGTCAGAGAACCAGCGAGCTAAGCAGGCCGCAAACACACAGCACACTGCAGATGCCCTGAAAGTGAGGCTCATCCAGCGTCCAGCCCCTCATCCCGGCTGGAGTTCCACAGGGCTGGGCTATTACTGCATGTCTCTGGACCGTGGGGGGGAAACCAGAGAACCTGGAGGAAACTCGATACAGGGAGGACATGCAAACTCACACAGACTGCAGGTGAGATTCGAACCCCCAACTCAGGAGGCACCACTGAGCCACCTTCTTCCAATCCAGAAGTGGACCTAACCACAGTTTACTGACTTATTGGAGCGGGAATCAGGGTGCATACGGCTGGGCTTCTGGGGTCTCCTGTCTCTCCACCACAGCGGAACCAGGACCCAGGACCCAGATCCAGAGAGACTGGCAAGAGGAAATTAAACCCACATGCACAGGCGTGGAACAAGCAAACCTCGCACGAAAAAAAAACGAATCAGGAACCCTGCCACGGCATTACCAGCAGGGGGCGCCCTACAGTGATGCTACAAGACACATCTCACGCTGCTACCCCAGCAGTCGCCGAGTGCATCTTCCCTCCTTTAATCAGATTATCCCCCCCACCACGCCCCACCCTTGTTTTTCTGTGTTGCTGTCTGGTTCTTTTCTAATGAGGCAAATTGAGCTCAGATGCTGCTCTGCTCCCTCTGTAATTCCCATAAAACTGTTTTGGATCTCAAGCTGTACAAACTCGGGCAGCAAAAACGTGACGCGATTCGTCAACATAATTAGGTTATTCACAAGACAAACAATCCCATAAACGTAATCCCCCTCAATTGGCCAAGCGATTGATTTACAGTAATCGTAAAGCGTGTCATCGAGGTTTTCGGCGAAAAGCCCACTGAGCTCTGCACACGGCGTTCCCGTGAAATGGAGCTTTCTAGCGCACAGAGACGACTTTGTGAGCTTCTCCAGGCAGAGCGGAAGGCCGCCCTCAGCGCTTTTGATGCCGTTTTACAGTCTGCGAAAGAAATGCAGGCTCTGATTTGGACACAAGCTCTGATGACAGAGGAATTACTTAATGGAAAGACTGCGGTAGCAAACCACACTATCAGGCCGGGTTCTGAGGGGGAAAGTCCCTCAAAGAGGCCCAAAAGCAGGTGATCACCTCCTATACACCGCCATCTGGTGGTCACACACAGCATCGCTATTCTCATTACGCCTGAACGTGTTGTGCTTTAATCAAGCGTAAAAGCCGGACGTCCCAGTGAGACCGAGACCTCTGTGTTTCTCCTGCCACTGGAATCCCTCGTTTTGTTTTCCGCCTTCAGCTGCCTGCCATTTTAGCGGCATGGTGGGCGGGGGCGCGGCCCCCAAACCAAACAAACGGCAGGGCCGTAAAGACGAGAGTGGATGGGTGAAAGGCTCACAAACAAAGCACTAAAAAGAGCCCAAAGATTCTAAAGCCGGCTGTCGCAGGCTGTGGGCAGGGATGTCACACCTGCCCCAGGGGGCACACAGCAGCCCAACCAGCGGGCATGGATGGTCTGCGCACCACGGGCACGTCTGTATTGTCTAGAAGCAGCAGTGACATCAGAGCACAGGGGCACAGGGTAGAAAACCCACAGACAGAAAAGCCTGATGCAGACTGATAGAGAACAGAGAAGAGAAACTCAGGCTGGAGACAAAAGTGAGCTTCTCCAGGGAGCATGCTGGGATTGAGGAGGATAATGATGGGAATGAAGAGGACAATGGTGGGAATGGAGAGGATGATGGGGTAGAGGAGGATAATCGTGACAATGAAGAGGATGATGGTGGGAATGAAGAGGATGATGGGATAGAGGAGGATAATGCTGGGAATGAGGAGCATGCTGGGAATGAGGAGGATGCTGGGATTGAAGAGGATAATGGTGGGAATGAGGAGGATGATGGTGGGAATGAAGAGGATGCTGGAATTGAGGTGGATGATGGCATAGAGGAGCATGCTGGGATTAAGGAGGATGTCTCTGAGGAGGATGGGCTGTAGGAACGCCAGGGGCCAAACCCCCCCAGGCAGCCCAGGGCAGGCATCCCAAGCACCTGAGGAAGCCTCACGGTTGCACAGCAGGATCACACAGGCAGCCATTAGCGGAACACCGCAGAAAAGCAGCTCGTGCTCTTCGGGGAACGTCTGCCAGCGGCTGTCGTTTGGCTGCCAGATAAAACCTACAAGGTGCTGATGTTCCACACCACTGCAGAAACATCCCTGCGGAGGATCCTGAACACTCAGCGTCGCCCTCAGCTCCCCCCCAAGCTCCTATCTGGGGAGGCGGTGGGGGGGGAAGTTGGAAACCAGTGCCAACGTGCCTCTGAACTTGGGGAGGAATCTGAAGGTCAGTCACCAGGGGACCGGCTGGCGCAGAAGGCAGGGCAGCAGCGGGGAGCTGCTGGGGTCTGGGGGTGCTGTGTGACAGCATGAGCCCTGCTGGGGGGGGGGGACTTTGGTTCAGCACATCCTGATGAAAGGTGTCAGTGAATCCTTCCCTTCAAAAACAATGGGCGTGTCAGCACCGGTGACACGGCCTGTTAGACTGAACCCAAGTGCTCAGGGTGTGGAGGGCAGGAGAGGAGATCAGGAGGCAGGGGGTCAGGGGCTGTAGGGTAGGGGGATCTCAGAGTGTAATATATACATAACCCAGAAACACCC